AAACCAATTTGACCAAAATCAATACGCATTTGTTTATTGACTATTTATATGCAAATTTTTAAAACATTATTTTTATTATGAAAAGGAGAGAGTAATAGATAAAAATAATAAATGTTCCTCTATTTTCATTGGTTCAAATAATTAGTTTTGAAAATATCTTGATAATGTCCACTCACTTTTTGTAGTTATTACTCCATTTGTCGTTCCACTTGTTTGCACTAATCATATTTTTGTTTGTTTGTTTGTTGTGCTTTAATCTCTTCCATTATGAATTAGAAAAAAGAAAAATTATCACCACTATCACGATCTCAAAACTTTCTTTTCTAACCTACACAATTGCAAAAACATTTTCACCAATACCTCAATTTCAACATAAAATGATAATTTTACCCTTTTTATTCACTTTCTTCTTCTTCTATTTTTCTTTGATTGAGGATTGTCCTCTCTCTCACTTCTCTCTCTAGGGACAAGATGAACTCTATGTGGACAAGATGAACTCTCTCTCTCTCTCCAGAGACAAGATGGACTCTCTCTCTCCGTGGACAAAATGGACTCTCTCTCTCATTGTGGATAATAATACGTACATAGACGAAGACGATGAAACGGAGGATAAAAACGAAGATATGGAATGAGACATTGGTGGATGGTGGACATAAGCGGTGGTTGTAGACATAGAGGATGGCGAATATGGTAGATGGAGATGATGAAACGATAGACAACAAGAAGACAAAGATACCAAATGTTGTCCAGCATGTAGACAATGTTGTCCAACAATTACACAATGTTGTCCACCGGACCGAAATTATTGTTCTGCATAGTATTTTATATTTTTTTTGTCTCACCACACTAGGAGTATATCCATCATTTTTTTATTTACCAATCTGCTATTGTGGTACTCAATAAAAGACATTTTGAATTGTGGTAGATTGGAAAACATTTTTTCCAAGTGGTAGATTTGATAATTTTTCAAAAAAAAAAACAATTAATTTGTAACAAAGGAATAGATAATTATAAATTTTTTAGTAATATTAATCGATGAGTATGATACTTCACCCACATTAAGAGGCAAACCCTTAAAAGCCTCCGATTCGTTGGGACTTTTTATTAACTTTTTTTTTTTTTCTGTTGCTGCCGTTACAGTTCCAATTACAGCTCATTTTGCTTGCAGAAGCAACCAAGTACCTTCTTCTCCTCTGTAAAAACATGACGATTAAGCCCAAATCGCCGGCGAGATTCAAGCTCGGGAGACAGTCTTCGTTAGCGCCGGATTCACGAACTCCGACCGAGACGGTAACGGAAGATGAGGACGAAGATTTGGTAGCGGCGGCGGCGGCTGGGATCGTGGATCCGACGATTCGTTTAATGTATTTAGCTAACGAAGGTGATATCGATGGGATTAAGAAGATGTTAGATTCTGGAACTAATGTTGATTACCGTGATATCGATGGTCGTACTGCTCTTCACGTCGCTGCTTGTCAAGGACGAACCGATGTTGTTGAGCTTCTGCTTAATCGTGGTGCTAAGGTTGTTTCGATGGATCGATGGGGTAGTACGGTACGGAATTTTTAAAACTTGTTTTATGGGGATGAAATTTGTTTGCTTTGGTTTTGATTTTGACTTGTCGTAGACTCATAGTTCGCTTTGTGTTCGACGAATTGCCTCACAAGCATATGTTTTTAGCTATACCCAAAATTCTTTGGAGGGCTTTGGTAATTTGCTGCTTTAACTTCGAGAGTGCTATGATAATGATGGTAACAATTCGTGATTGGTCTTAACAGCCTCTTGCAGATGCAGTGTATTACAAAAATAATGATGTGATTAAACTTTTGGAGAAACATGGTGCAAAGCCTCCGGTATGTGTTGTATCCCTAATTGTGTGGATAGATGTTATAAATTCTCTGA